TTGGCTCAGTGGATAGAGCGTCGGCCTGCGGACTAAGGGGTCCCAGGTTTGATTCCGGTCAAGGGCATGTACCTTGGTTGTGGGCACATCCCCAGTAGGGGGTGTGCAGGAGGCAGCTGGTCGATGTTTCTCTCTCGATGTTTCTAACTCTCTATCCCTCTCCCTTCCTCTCTGTAAAAAAAAAAAATCAATAAAATTTATTTTAAAAACAACAACAAAACCCCCAACTTATTTATTTCTAGCAAAACCTCCAGATCCTTTTTGAGTTAGTTCGACAGCATTACATAACACAGTACAGTATCTGCATTCTTACAATTGAAAGAAATACAAGGAGAAAGAGTGAAAAACACAATTGTAGTAGGAAATTTTAATTCATCTTTCTTCCCCCCTCCCCCCCACTATCACAAATTACACAGTCAAGTTTCCCACATTTGGGGAAATCGCAGGGGTGAGCACATCCGAGAGCAATGGATAAGCCGGGCCCGGGAAAACCACCTTCGTGATCATGGCATCTCCCCTGCCAGGTAAGTACTAATTAATTCATCTTTCATAGACGTGTATACAAGAAAACAAGTCAGATTAGAAAGGACCTAATAACATAATTTGAGATTTAGTTAATGTATATTAAGCTCTTTATCTTAAAAACAGACTACTCCTTTGCACATGGACATCTGAACGTTTACAAATGACCACCTATTAAATCATTATTTGAAAAACCAATATATAATGAAAAGTAGTATAGAATAGACAGCATTCTCCAATTACCATAAATTAATACCAAACTACAAAACTAAACAAAAAAGACCTTACTACCTGTTAGTTTTGAAACTCTTAAATTGTCTTTGGTCAGAAAATAAATCAAGTTAAAATTTCATAGAAAATAACCCTAGCTGAGACACTGCATAGCAGAACCTAAGCTAAAGCAGTACTTGGAGGTAAATTCATAGCTTTAAATATTCACATTAATAAGGAGGAATAAAAAAAAATAATGAGCTAAGTATCTAACTCAAGATAGAGATAAACAACAACAAAACAACAAAAACAGAAGGCTAGAAATAATAAAGATAAAAGTGTAAAGTGATGATTTAGAAAAATCAGTAGAGCTAATCTAAATAAAATAAACCGAGTAGAAACAAAATTTTAAAATTTGGAAATGGCTAAATCTGTAGTTGATCTAGTGATTTAGAAGATATTTGGTCCTCATCCATAGTTAACTAACTCAGAGTTCCCAAAATCCTTGGAATTTCCTAAGAGTTGAGAGTGATACAGGTGTCTTTTGTTATGTTAATGAAATGGCTTTTGGATCTCACTGTAGGGTGAGGGCTGGTTGCCAGGAAAACCAACCAAGTGATTAGAAGTTTGTAACTTTCAGTCCCACCCCAGGACCTCCAGAGAGGGGAGAGAGGCTGAGATGGAGCTCAATTGCCAATGGCCAATAACTTAGTCAGTCGTGACTAGGTAATGAAACCTCCATAAAATCCCCCGAAAAGAACAGCTCCTTGGCCCTTTTCAGAGAGCTTGTAGAAGGGGGCACAATGCTTTCAGGTGCCACCTTGTGGGGCCCCAAGCTCCATGAGACAGAAATTCCTTCATTCGGGACTTTGCCCCAAGTATCTTCATCTGACTGGTGATTTGCATCATTTAAGGCCCTTTGTGATAAACCAATAACCCAGTGAATACAGGGGTTTTCCTGACTGCCAAACCGTTCTAGCAAATTAATTGAACCCAAAGACAGGGTCTTGGAAACCTTTGATTGACAGCCAGAGGTTCAGGTGACAACCTGAAGCGGAGGGCAGTCTTGTGGGCCCGGGCCCTTCACCTGCGGAACGTGCGTCTGCCTCCGGGTAGATGGGTCAGAACTGAGCTGACCTGCCCCACACCTGCTGTTTGCCGTTGGTGTGGGGCATACCGCCCCCTCCACCCCCACTCCAGGGAATCGGAGCCGGAAACCCTTCTGAATACCCTTAGCGGCCTTTAGAGCTGACCTACGCGGGAGAGCGGACGTAAGGAGACAAATCAATAAGGTTCCATTTCGTGCCCCTGGTTTGGGCAAAGCCCTTGCTCCCATGGGAGTGCGTGGCCACCCTACCGGGGCCAACTTCAGCCCTTTACCTCACCTTGACGGACCCCCAACAAGCCTGGGGCTCTGGGTGGGGCGGGGCCCCTGTCGAAGCCCTGACTCTGGGATGAACCTTCCAGACTGAGAGCAGCGGAGGGTGCCCGAGGGAAGGCTTCCTGGAGGCGGCGTGCACGCTGGGACTCGGGATCCAGAGCTCCGAGGAGGCGGGGACCGTCGAGGGAGAGGGACTTTAACTCCCCAGGCCCCCGCGGGCCCCCTGACCTCAGCAGCCTGGCCCTGAGGCTCTGCAGAGCAGGACGGGGCGGTGAGCACGCGCCAGACCACACAAGAAACGAGCACTGCCCAGTGGATGCCGGAGGGCGCGGGGCGAACAGACACGTCCCAGGAAGTTGTTAGAAATTGGTCAGTGGGCCAAGCGGACGTCCCGGAATGGCTCACCGCCAGCCCTGGCACAGCTGTCCCTTCCCGAGGCTCTATTAGTGCGTGTTCGGGGCCAGAGCCGCCCCCTGCCGGCCAGTCTGTTCACTGCTCCCAGGGCAGCTGGGGCTGGAAGATTAGACCCGCGGAGCTTGGAAGCCAAGGGCTCGAGTCCTGCCCGCGCGGGGATTGGCTGCCCGGGTCAGGTCCCCGCCCCAGGCAACCAGAGGAGGCGGGGTCTCACCTGCGGCGGGCTGGGGGCTGGGGGCTGGGGGTTGGAGGCTGGGGTTGGAGGCTGGGGGC